GCAAAAAGGAAACTATAAACATATATATGCATACGATACATATATATTTACAATTTATATATGTATATATATTACATGTTTTGTTATCTTTTCACGCGCTTTTAACAAAAATACCTTCAATTTCACTTATTGATTTGAGTAAATTGTGTTAATTGAATTCAAGTGTCTTGCACCTCTGAAAGTATTTAAACAGAGGGAATGTTTGTATATACGAAAAATGAGGCCTAAGAGGAAGTAGTGTGAAAATTAAATAAATTAGCCTCTTACTGGTTTTATGTGACGGTTGAAGTTGAAGAGTCTTACGTAATAAGTCTAAAGTCCGAAAGAACTGCTAGAAATAAGTGCAAACCCAAGAGAAAACCTCGCTTATATATTCAGAACTTATAATTCAATACTTTAATTTTAATATTTAATTTTCATATTTATTTTCCTACTCCAATTTGTGGTTTTGCGTCTTGCTGGTTTTCCAACAAATGTAGGGACGGCTGATAGTTTTTTCTATGAAGAGACTTTATTTCATGTCAAAAATGCACTCGGAGGGGTTGACATTCCCTGCCGAGGAGCGACCGTAATTAGAAAATTTAGTTTAATTTTTTATTTAAATTTATTTTCTATAACATTTGGCTGTTGGGAGGGGCACGGGGATTTGAACCCGAGCCTTCCTTTAAAAATAAAAAAGAAAAAAAATGACGTTATCTAAACCGACTTCACTAAAGCTTTCGCTAGGGCTAATCAATGAATATTCATTCATAAACTTGACCTTCTTGGAATTCAACGAAGACTTCTCCAACGGAGCTAAAAATTTTTTCGCTTGTGTCATGACTTTGATTTTCATTCCGCCTTTTGACCGCCCAGAATCACTTTTAATAGTTAAAAAGAATTTTTCATTTCTATCAACAATAAAGTTCCAATTAATATATTCAGATTCAATTTCAAAGAGTGATTTGATAACATCATCCGGAATAATTTTATTCATTCCACACCTATTTTTACCATATTTTAATTAAATAAATGAGCTTTGACATTGGCTACTATATCAATTAAGCGCACTATGTCTTCATGCTTTACCTAGACCCAACGCAAATCTTCGAAACAAATTGAGTATGATTTCACTGAACCGAATGCCGAAAGTTAGGACAGATGGACGGCATAGGGTGTGTGAAGTTCTCTCATGTGGAGAGTACATGCGTGTGCTTGATGTGTTTGCGCGTGATGTGTTTAGACGGCGAAGGAATCTGAGGTTTAATTGACCATTAGGTTAGGAGTATGAATGAGCATATTTGAGTCGGTATGCGGAGAATGAAGTTCAACCCCAGGCCACCAGTCCGGAGCTGTATGGAAGCTCAACTGGTAGTAGTTTCGGCTACGAGGTTCGACCGGAAACCTAAATCTTGTACCACGGGGAACAGGAGCTCTCGGAGCTTGCTCCGACCTGTTCAAGCGGACAGGTCCCCTCGGGGAGTACCGCGGTGGCTGTGGTTTCAACCCAAGCGCGGGAAGAGTTGACGTTATGTCAGCTCAATGTGGAGTTGCATTGCAACCGGGTGCCGGACCCATAGTACGGCAGAGGTTTTAGATAGGCCTCGAACCCTACCAAGGTGGTTAGTGTGCCCACTCCACACTGCCAATTGGTACCATAATGCTTGCATTATGGGGCGCTGATCAACGTATTGATTTGATCTGTTGTGTTTTTGAGCACCGTGAGGTTGGGCCGACGTCGGCAGGTACTCACGTAAAGCATATCGGACGATGTACCGAATGCCGAATGGTATTAATAAAAAAAACCTGAGTTGTTATCAAATGTCTTGACATAATTGCTAGTACAATATGAAAGAAAAAAAAGTTAGTCGTCTGACAATTAACACATTTGCTCCAAAATGCTATATTGTTTTGAATTTAATTAAGAAACTTTTTTTTCGATTTGTTTCTTTAATACGTTTTTTTTTTTTTATAGGAAAAACTAACTATTATATTTTTTGGTGTACTTAAAGGAGCACACCTAGTGTGAAATTTCAAACTAACCGATCTTTTTTCATATTTCACTATTTTCACTTTCAAATCGATATCTCAAATAGTTTTTGAGTTATAGCAATTTAAAGAGTAGCCGCTCGGCAGCTAGAGAGTCTCATTAGCTACGAGTTAAAACGATCACTTGATCTTTAAGCGCGTTTTTCTCGAAACAGCATTTTCCGAATTTGCTGCAGTGATTACTCAAAAAAAATGATCCGATCACTATCGATTTTTTTTACATGTTTTATATAAAGTTCTTGGTACAATGAACTATCGATTTTTGATCTGATCAAAAAATAGAATTTTGACAGGCCAAAAACGACCAAAATTTTGGGTAAAATTCGACTATTTTTTTTTTTTGATTTTTTTTATCGTAGGTCATTGTACGAACAATATTTTCTAGTCGAGAATTTTTTTTTCAGATTTTATTCACGGAGAAGGCCGGAATCACTACAGCAGTGAAGGACCTTTTTTTCGAGTCGTTGAAAATCAACTATAACTTAAAAAATATTTATTCTTCAAGAATTTCACTGTATATTCTTGAAACATGTGTAAATATATTCTTAAATTTTTGAAATGATTTATAAAGCAGTTTTTTTTTTAATAAATATTAACAAAAATCAGCTTTTTTTTAGGCCATTACACTAGGTTTGCCCTTAACTTTTGCCAACTAAAATAATTTTTTAGATTTAAAACTTTTTCGCGAATATTTTCTTTATTTATTCAGCTCTTCAGGAAATTATCTCTGCAGGGCTTGTGAATATATTTTTGCGTAAGCATATATAATATATATGTATGTAGCTACAAGTACATACATATATTTTACCACATTTATACGCAACAAACTCACATTTTTCCTATGATATTGTGTATACATACATACTTATGCTAATTTCCATAAAAAATAACAAAAAAAATAACAAAAAAAAAAACAATGCACGTGTTCCATTAGATATAAGAAAATAAATATTAAACTTTATTTATATACATACATATATAAATGTTAACTATATAGGTATACATATATATTATATACTTTTGTGGCTACATATTATATTAAATGCGTATTTGTATAATGCTACAAGTGCATATGTAAACATGTAGCATATGTATATTCAAATATACAACATCGAAGCAAACGTGCAATGTATGCACAGTCAGCGTCAAAAGAAAATGTACATCTCTATCTCATGCGTTTCACTCTTTATTTCGGTGTGAAAAAATTAAATTTTTTTTAAATCATTTATCATTTACAAATGTTTTAATATTGTTCTTATAAGAAATTAACAACAATCCAAAGCAAAATTTGCAAGAATAAAAACAACACATACAAAACCAAATATACTCAGTATTTTACGCGTCAAAACAAAGTGTACAGTTTGGGAATAACTAAGAAATTCTTAAGCTATTACTTTGTCCTCCCTTTGCCCTGATAACTGCTTCCAACCTCCTTGGCATTTATTCCAATAAGTTGAATACTACTTCCCGTGAAATTATAGACCACTCCTCTAGTAAAAATTCTTGCCGTGTATTCTTGCTGTTGATATTTCTTTTCTTTATTTGCCGGTCGAAATGCCCAATCAGGTGCTCAATGGGGATGAGGTCTGGTGATTGTGGAGGTGATCCAGCTGTTTAGGTGTAACGTAAAGCAATCATTCTTTACTATTCTTGCCGTATGATTAGGATCGTTGTCCTGTTGGAAGATCCAGAATTGATCTAAGCCCAATTTCTCAACGCTATGAAGCACATTTTCTCTTAAAATGTTTTAGTAATCAAATTTGTTCACTTGCCGTCATGCACTCCCAAACCATCGCCGACCCCCACCTGCTTTACAGTGGATGTAATGTTTTTTTTGTTCAAACTCCAAATTTTTATTTCGTCAAACTTTAGTATTTTTTTCTTACCGAAAACTTCGAGCTTGCTTTCGTCAGAAAAAATATCACTATTCGAAAACGATTTGTTGTCCACAAATTCCAATCGCCGTTTTTGCTTCTGCGTAGAGTTGTGAGGCCTTTTCCTCAGTACCCGACCATACAGACTATTAGAATGCAATGCTCGCCTGAACGTGCTGGCAATAACATTCAGTCCGGATGTTCCGGACATAATTTGGCGGCCATCACAATTGGATCTATCTTCGCAGCTCTAACAATTGAACGTATTTCAGTATAATTAAGCCATTTTGGTCTACCCGAACGTGGTCGATCTTCTATTTCACCAAACTCTTTTTTTTTTGCTCATCAATGATTTTTTTTACTCCATTCATCCAATTAGTGACGCAATTTCAAGTAAATATTTTTCTTTCTTCTTAAAATTTACCACTAATTTTCTTATATCAGGTGAAGTTTGCTACCCATTGTCAAAATGATATACTGTCTGCTAATTTTCATACGCAAATAATATTCTATTGGCAGAAGAATACTAAATAACAGTAGAACGAGCAGTTGCAATTTAAAAACTATGAATAACGATACTTTTTTTTTGGCGTAAAATGAAAATGCGAAGGCTACTACCGAATTTGTACGCTTTCTTTTGACGCTGACTGTATGTATGCATGTAGCTCATTAAACCGGCCACGTTTTATTGATGTACATATATAAAAGTCGAGGAGGTCGACTCGTATAGCAGGCGACAATTAAATATTCTTTTAGAAAACTAAGGAAGGAGAAGCTTTCACGACATTTATTGAAGAAAATTTAAATTTTAATTATTTTTGAAATTTCGTTTATTGAAGCCTAGGATTTTTTAATTTTTTTATTTATATATAAAACATATGTGTGTACATACACAAGTAAGCCTAAAAAACTGGCTGTTAGAATTCTCTTTTACACATATTCTTTTCTGCATTTTCGCACTTGATTATTCATTTTTTGAAGAACTTGAATTTCTATTTTCTTTTTTCGGGACTAAATTTTAACCGAAATATAAATTTTTTATTCACTTCCTACATATGTAAGCCGCTGTCTCTTGTCTCGTCAACCATTCACACTAACCTTTCTTTTTAAATTTCTTCGAAAATAAATTCACTTCGAGAATTCACGTCCAAATCAGCGTTGTCTTCAATAACGACTGACAGATGTTCTAACGCGGAAAGTACTGAAAATCTGTTTTGGCCTCTATAAAGTACATATGTATATGTAAGTATGTAGCTACACGTCGGTTTCAATAGTTCAGTTTCTCTGTGCTGTTTTCGTTTCTCACTCACATTGACTTCTCGTGCGAGTTAATGTTCACTACAAAATACAAAATATGTACCTACATATGTATGAAGAGAGGATTTTCGTAAAAAAAAACAGGCAACAGGAATTAAGCGGGTTTAGTGTGGTGAATGTTCAAGTGTTGAAGTATATACGTGTGGAAGAGCGCTGTTGTTGATTGGAGACTTTCAGTGAGAAAGTGTGCGCTACAAAAGATTGTGGAGACTAAAAAAATGTCTCACTGTAGTAGAAGAGAGCAATATCCCATTAGGAAATGATTCGGAAGTATGCATCAAAAACTCGCAATCATGGTTAAGTGATGAATTCGCACAGTGTGGCGGTTTGACGGTGGTTGTTAACCACGTTAAGTAGATCATATAAGTACACAACTGGAATAGCATCAATGTGCTCGGACTAAAAAGTTTGCGGTCAGGTCTCGATGGGTTGAGCTGCCTATAAAATCCAGTGCTTAATTGCGTTAGAATTACTCACGGTTAGCATGGGACAGGAGCTCATCTCCAGCAAAAGTTGTGAGTAGCTTCTATAAGCGCTATTCTTCTTCTTCTTTACTAACGTGGACAGCGCTAATGCGTTGACAGCGCAGTTAACATTCTCTTTTCTTTTTGCCAATTGGGGCAACCGCCAGCCTAATATTTGCAACGGAGTGAAGAGTTTCCTCTTCCTCTGTTTCCACCGCCATGTACTGCCACGAATACTTTCTTAGCTTGCAAACTGAAGCATGTAAAAGTCTTTGTATATCTCAGTATTCACCGTTGCTCGTGCGCAAAGGAACATAAATATTTCGTAAAACTTTTCTCTCGATTATTCCAAGCTGCGATGTTGCCATATGTCCACAATTTCTTTGAAAACGTAAATGATCAGGGACAGTAGCTGATTATGTCTCTAAGAATGGCTTTCAACGCCTGCCAGTAACTTATCATTGCCAACGGTTCTGTTAAGTATTGCTTTATATATATGTATGTAGAGTTTGGACAGTCTTGTACTTTATTCCTGACAACAAATAATCATGTACCAGATATCCGACAGTCAGGCTGGTACTCAGAGAAGATCCGAGCAGGTTTTCCATTAGATTTCATAAAATCATTTGAGTTTCCTAATATTTGGCGGATGTTACTCACATCAACTTCATCTTGTTGAAAGTCGGTGTTTTAACGTCAAAGGTTTTGACGTTCAGATTTAGTCGGGACTGCTATAAGCTGTAGATTTTGCGAGTGAAGGTTTCCAGATGTCTGTCATTCGAACAACGGTTATCATGATCCCAACCATACGCCAAGATCTGCAACCACTGGCATACTAGCTCTAGTGGGCTCGCTAGAGAGAAAGAGGGGGAGAGAACTGGTTGAGAGACCAGCGGCGCAGTTTCCTTTTTTGGCAGTGCGCTCTGTAGTAGTGTATTGTAGCTCTGAATTATGTTTAAGTTTTAGAATCTTAAATCTAGAGCCTATACGTTAAGCGAATTCTTTCTCACAACGGTATTTGCGAAAGTATTAAAATTAAGTAGGATAATATCCATGATCGACTGTAGATTCAGGCGAGCAGTAGATTTATCACTTTCCAGCAAGATCCTACCTCTCTATAGTCGTCGAGAATATTTTTCAGATTAACACCTCTAGAATCCACTTCACTTCCGAAGGGTCTAGAAACAAATATATATACATACATATGTGTATATAAATTTTTTGTTCGGTTTTAATGATTCAGTAATATCCAAGATTAGATTATTTACATGGCTCGATAAGATCTTCGGGAAATGCCCCAGGGACTGACCTATACGAAAATATTTTTTATTTATTTTGTCCAGTTGGTGACTCAAGTTGTTTTTGTTAAATCGAAAAATACCAAATCCTTTGCAAATACTTTTTTAGCCCTCCTTTCCAACTGAAGCACGATCGGCTAAAATGCAGACCAGTAGATGCAAGATAGTTGATGTTAGGTCAGAGGAAATTCCACTGAACTGAAATTCGTCATGTGATTCTCTTCGAGTCTGGGCGTAATTCACAGCCAATTCAAATATTCAGTGAATGCCAAGTTGCATCTGGAATGATTGCACCGTAGTTAAAGACTATTTCTAAGTGGCACCGAAGATTCCGTAGAGGACGAGCCCCGATAAGGTCGACCAAAATCTTCCACAGATGACGTCATTGTAGCTCTGGTGAAATCCAAAATTGACGAAGACCTACGATTGACATAAGAAATGATTGCTTATGAATTGGGCTTGAATACCATGGCTGTATAGCGAATATTAAGTAAACATATAGGATCTACGAAGAAATCTGATCGATGGATACCACGATTTTTATACAAACGACAAAACGAGGCTCAAGTTCATTTTGCTCAGTTTTTCCTAAACACACAGAGAACTTTAAAAAAGTCGTTACTGACGATGAATTTTGGTTCTTTAAGTAAGATCTAGAAACCAAACAGCAGTTCATGGCTTGAAAGCCAACAGGAGCTTAATTAAGGCGTTTTGTCGTCCTTTTCAATACAAATTAGAATCAAAATTGGACAAAATACAGAAAAACCACAGCAACGTGCGATCGGGTTTGCCATGTAATTAGTCTTAAGTGAGCGTACATACATAAACGAATACATGGAAAAACACAAGACCACCAACAAAAGAGCAAGAACAAGAAATCAAAGAAGAGGAGTGGATCTATTTTAGAAAATGTCACATTAGCATAAAAGATTGAAGCTACGCCTCAACAGCAGTGAAACCAGTTTCGAAAAAACAGCGTTTAATGAACTCGAATAGAGTACATCTACCTCTACGTATACATATACATATAAGTACATATTTAAATATATGAAATTTCTTTGCCCTCTGGTACTTTTTGCTTAATTTTTACCAACAAAATTTGGCCTCCCATCAGCATTAGAAGAGAAAACTTTATTCGTTTCTTTAAAACTTAATATTTTTATTTCAACATTATTTTTTTACAATAATTTTTAGTACAAAATATTTACGCCTTTAGTATTTCGCAATACTTTATTACACCACCCTGCACTGCGCATGCTTACAACACGGCAAAAACTACCTGGAAACCCATGTAAGCCGTTGCACCAAAAGCAACAAAGAATGCCAAGGCGCGACTCGGTTGTGGCACAACAAAAACAGCATAAACAATTGTATGCACAATACGTGCAATACCCACAGCACGGAAGAGATTGATGGCCAAACCAGGTATGGGGTCAGTTAGCACATAAAGGAAACCAATGACGAAGAAAGGTATAATGTTTTCCAAATCATTGCGATGAGCTCTGCGGGGTAAGAGATGAAGAAAGTAATGATTAGTTAAATTATTTTTTAAGTTCTGATTTTTTACTTATTTACTCTACCTGCGCACACGTTCAACATCTGGATTATCGAATTTCACCTTCAGGCGTTTGTCCAATAAATCCTCGGGATTGGCAAAGGTCTGAAAAGAAAAATGAGAGTGTAATAGGAAATGCTTGATAGAAATATAAAATTTCAAAAAATAAAAATTAAAATAAAATTTAAAAAAAATATATATTCCAAATAGGTTTTGTCAAAACAAAAAAACCAAAAAAAAAAAATAAAAAAAAATAAAAAAAATAAAAAAAAATAAATAAAAAAATAAATAAATAAAATAAATAAATAAAAAATAATAAGTAAAAAAAAATAAATAAAAAAATAAATAAATAAATAAATAAATAATAAAAAAATATATAAATAAAAAAAAATAAATAAAAAAATATATAAATAAAAAAAAATAAATAAAAAAAAATAAATAAATAAATAAATAAATAATAAAAAAATAAATAAATAAAAAATAATAAATAAAAAAATGAATAAAAAAATAAATAAATAAAAAAAAGTTAACCAAAAGAATTCTGTTTATCATCCCATATTAGCTATTTAATTCCAATAGCTAACAGATCCGTCCGGACTCTGCTGTGGCTTTCTATATTTTTCTTTTATACAGAATTCATTTATCTACTGGATCTGCTATAATTATTTATATTTCGAACAAATCCAACGTCGTTCAGGTATCTGGTTTATTTCCAAGAAACAAGAGCATATTTTTTCAAATAGAAAGAAAAAAATAGAAAAGAGCTTTAAAAATTTTTTGCTTGGAATATGTTGGCCTCTGATTCATATTCTTTAGAGAAGAGTTGTATTTTGGTTAACCTATACAAAAAGCCAACTATGAACCGATTTAAAAAAAATCGTTTGATAAATACAATTTTTTCTTATAATTCGGTTCTCAGTTCACATTCCGGAGAGAAGAGTGGCCTTCCTGTTAATCCAAGCAAAAGGCCACACATTTACTCAATTCCAAGTAAATAGAAACATATATATATCAAAGATTTTTACGAATGGGTCAGTCCCTGAACCCTTTGTCGAAACCATTTTTATCGTATAAATCTGTCCATTAGCCATAGAAACAATCTGATCAATCTCAAGTCAATCCGCTTGTAAATTTTTGAGATCAATGATTCCTTATCAACGAACTTAAAATTTTTATAAATGAACATACATACATATGTATAGATTACGTTATTGAAATCTAAAAAAATATAAATTTTCAAAATTTTTCGACAGACCTAATACGCAAAAAACAAAAAATTTTGTTCAAAACCCTACGACTAGAATTTTTGCAAACTTTCTTTGGAACCAATCTCAGGCTATACCCTCCCAAATAGAAAAAAGTATTAAATTAAGTATTGCCATAGCTTAAAAAGATATATTCATCGACTACAAAGTCAGTCGTATATTGACAGCTTTCTGATTGCTCGGTCACCATATCGTTGGAAACTGGTAAGCGCAAGGCACAAGTCACAAAAAACGTTGCCTGCAATTAGGCGCTCAGTTCCAATAGCTAACTAATACATTTTGCTTTCATTTTAAATTTTCTAGCTATTGGGAATCAATTTTTTTAACTGGCTTAAATATTGGACATATTTATTATAATATTTTATTAAATTATAACTTCATTCTCCAGAATTTAAATATTTTTCCATTTAAGTGCTATTAATGGCTGGGCCGCGAAAAATTTGCCTTTTAAAATTATCATAAAAGAGAGAGATACAATTTTTTAATAATTTTGCCTTTATTGGTATGCCACTACATTCTGGTTAATGATAGAACATTAGCTCATTCATGTGGGGACGTCGTTGGCCTTCAGTAGTAGTAGTAGGTCGAATCAATTTTTCAACACAATTTCGTTTGTGTGGCCCTGTATGGCTGCTATGGCGACTTTAATTTTGTGTTTTAAGTCGTAAATCGCCTGCAGATGTTTGGTTCATAAGCCGACTGGAAGAAATGAGACCGCTTTGGATGACCAAGAGACGTCAGTGCTCGAATCAGTTGGTCTTTATAAACCTCTGTACCGGGGTATTTATGCAAAATCCCATGTAAATAACTGTGCGAAATGAGAAATTCTTGCGTTTGGTGCCGATTGAGTAGACTTTGTGGCAGTATCATTTTCGGTACGCTTTTAAGATTGAAAGTTTATGAAGTGTTTTTTTTTCTTTTTGTATCTTCATTTTCTAATCTCTACTTTTCTGTGTCAAAACTGTCATAGAAAGTAGCTGTATTTAGGTTACTGCGAAAATCGTACCCTCAGAGACGCCGTACAATGCTTATGAAATACTCGTACACAGAGTATCGAAGAAGAACGGCCATCTGTTGCCCGTGATAGAGCTAATTCCGACCACTTTATGGAAGATTTTGTGAACCTATCTTGGTTTGCGGGCTTACAAAATCCAACTTGTGCAGGAATTAAAGCTGAATAAAAATCAAACGTGTCGTACGTTCAATGAATCGTATTCGAACTAGTTCACTGTCTTATTTAGAGTGATGATATTATCAAAAGGTCACTGTTTGGTCTGCTCAGTGTCCCATATATCTTCAAAAATAAAGTCGTCTCAAAATATTACATTCAACGGGGAACACTATAGGGTCATAATTGATGACTTTTTGTTGGCTAAATTATAGGAAGTCGATGTGGATGAGCTTTGGTTACACCAATAAGGCGCTACATGCCACACAGGCCACGAAATAATTAAAAAAGAACTGACAAATTCTCGCTTGAAAGCCACATAACTAAAAAAAGAACATTTATTAGCTGTTTCCAGGATCTCTAAACTTAAGGGAATTTCAATTGAAATTAATATAAAAATATTATTAATTATCTTCAAAAGTATGTATTGCCGAAAGAAAACTTTTTCGCCAATAACCAGATTAAATCCGGCAAAAAAGATTAACAAAGCAAATCAGCTCTTGAACTTCTCATTTCAACCAACGAACCAGCTGCAAGCTGTTTGAAAACTTTTTGCATACACTGTAGCGTGTTGTTTGTTGTTTGCAAATCTACTAATTTCATTGAAAAGCTTACAAATACGCCGGCAAGCAAAGCTTAACTGCTGTTGATTTCACATGAATATTTATTTACACATATATAATATACATATGCCATTTGTAAGCACTAACAACGCAAAAAATACAATTAAAAAGTATGAAATTGTCATTTATGTTAATGGAAAAAAGAGAATGTATTCCAACTTAATAATAATGGCCAATTTGCTTTAAAATAATTATCAATATTTAACTTATTTACGCAGCTTTTTGTGATTGTGATTTTTATCAGCGCCCATGTGTGTATGTATGTATGTATATTTTTTTTTAACCGCTTTAACATTTGACTTTGGACCCACAGTTATTCTCTGTAGTGATGACTGAGCATATTTTTTTTTATTTTTATATTTTTTTTCCAATTTTTTTTTTTTTTTTGAAATTTTAATTATCATTTATTTAACTATGTCAAACCATCGCTTTGAAACTTCGATGTATTTTATGCTAATTTTCAATGTACATAGGTATGCATAATAGTAAATATACGTACATATGCATGTATGTAATTATGCATTTCCCTTATTTACCTTTGTCTTGAAGCGTTGCATAGCTGTCAGCAATGACATAGACAAGAGTTTGAGCACCAAAACCGCCGACCAGAACACATATGTTTTGAATACTTCATTATCAAGTGATGCTAAATCTAATGCTGCCATTTTGACTTTACGATTATTTATTCTTTAATATTTAGAAATTAATGAAAGAAATATACATGAATTTTATTTTGCCCACTGATATGCGCAGAACTATCACCGTGTATATCAATTGACCGACTAATTTTAAGTTGACTTTTAAAAGTTTACCACAAACCCGCCGAATCTTCTCCAGTGAGCTTTTGTTGGCACTTAAATACATATATATGTATATAAAAAATATATATGTAAGCATATATATAATTTTATATTTCATTGTACTACTGAGAGAAATTTTATGTGCAGATATACAGAGCTCTGGTGGAGTCCCATAACTGCCTGCCGTTAGCTCAGAGCGTGCTCTCTACTATTGTAGATATGTATGTAAGCATGAAATTTTGTCTAGTCACTATTCATGAATATATATATGTATGTATGTTATGCAAATGAAATAAAGCTATATTCAGTGAACAAAATTTGTAATAAATAAACTTTAAATATATAAATACATATGCATTTATTTATACATACAAGCAGCAACAATAATTAGAGATTAATATTTAGTACGAGGGTTGCATTTCATATTTCAGGATTCGGCCACCCTTAAAGTTGCAGTCTGGCAAGTAAAATTTGAGCTTTTTGATGTTATAATTGGTGCTGAGGGAATTTTCTGCCAAGCTGCTCCTCCAATTGGTGATTTTGTGTCTTGATGTTTTTCCAATAAAATGGAGGAAGCTACAGTTTATTCTAAGCCGCCTCCTTACGGCCGTTGGATTTTTCTGAAGAGCTGAAGAGCTTTTTATCTCATGTCAGAAATACACTCGGAGAGCTTGACATTCTCTGTCGAAGGGCAGCCGCAAGTAGAAAAATTAATTTTCTAAAATTTTGGATGTTATTCGAAGTCCGAGTCCTGGAACTTTGGCTTTCATAGTGGCAGTCGACCAGGGTTTATCGATGGCATAGTGAATTCAATCGAGGTCGTAGATGACCACAAGACGAACTTCGTGTAGAGCATCCAAAACCAGTTGTTATTCCGGAGATTACTAATATTGTCTGCAAACTGTTATTTCAAGATCGTCAACGGACCCATCACAAGATTGTGACAACTACAGACCAGCATACATTCAATATTGCATGAATATTTGACATTAAACAGATTGATTCACTATGGATTCGGTCGGACCAGGACTCGTACGCTGGCCGTACGATACGATGGCAATGCTTCCAAACATGTCTATGACTTTGTTGAAAGAGCCGTCGACTTCATCGGTGTTAAAAGAAGAGCCGAATCCCTTACGCACGTCCAAGCAAATACTGCCTGCTACCGTACAACAAGAACAACGTATAACTCGAGCTATCGCCAAAGCGTCGTTAGAATTTGAGGTTCTAAAACCAAACTCTGTAGACAAGGGGTTTCGCAGGGTGATGGCCTCTTCCCACTTTTGTTTATCTTTCATATTTTGAAGCTTCCTCTTCCACAAGATGGCGTTCCATTGATTTCATATGTCTATAATTGATGAATATTGGTGTCTGGCCGTGACTTGGGCACAAAACTTAACTGCCGATCTTACTCACTTCCTCATTGTCGGCCAGTCCGTCCAGAACTCGTTGAGAAAGTCGATGGCGTAAAAACTTCGATAGTAAACAGCCTGAAGTTACTAGGAGTCACATTCGACAGCGTGCACTCCTTCGTTCCACATACGACTGCAAGTGCCACCAGATTATTGAGTCGCAATAAACATTCTCAAAACGCCAGTTGGCAATACCAACAAAGAATAGTTACTCGCAACATACAATGCAATTGGCTGACCAGCCGGTAAACTACGATTTGAACGACGAGTCAAATCACCAGCCATCCTGTGTAATACTGGCGCAAATAAGATTTGGATATTGTAGTCGACTAAATTCCTACTTATTCAAACTTGAACTTTCGACATACCCAACGTATGTCCTGCATGCAATGAGACCCCGACACGACAACAACCAATTCTTTGCATGTCCCTTAAAGCCCACTCATCTAACCCAGTCTCTGGTACGAACCTATCGAAAAAGCTCATTTCGGCCACTTCCCGACTAGCCGTTACAACAAAAGCAGCGCAGAGTAATATATACTAAGTGATAAACATCCATTAGTTTGCCAGTTGTCTTTCGGGAAATCAGGAAAACCAGCTGTCTAAGACGGACCACGACAATGCGAGCTCTCACACACGGACGGAGAAAAAGTACATTTTCGAGAACTCCAAACGTCGATTTGATGAGTCATCCATCATCCAGCGATCTGATTTGGCACTGCACGACTTCTTTATGTGCTCGTATGCCAAAATTGAACTGAGAAGTGATCGTTTTTCGATATCCGAAGATGAGATCGATGCGTTTAGAAGGAATATTTTGGAGAGGAGATACCTCAGTCGGAGGAGCAAAAGAACTTCGTCAATTGGTTCAAACGCAGGCCTAGATGTATAGGCCACACATTTTTATTATTATTAATATTTACAAAATATTATTTACAAATTAATATTTACACAATAATTTTTTTAGTATTTTTTTTTTAAATGCCCGTTTCTTGCTACAGAATCTGTAATTTTTGCTCTCTCCTTATAACAAAAACAGTATCACCTGGAAGGCCATATAAGTTGTTGCCAAAGCACAAACCATAAATGAGAGCAAACGACTCGGTTGTGGCACAACAAAAACAGCATAAACGATGGTGTGAACGACGCGTGAAATACCCACAGCACGGAAGAGATTAATAGCTAACTTGGGATTGGGATTGATCAGCACATAAAGGAAGCCAATGACAAGGAAGGGTGGTATGTTCTCAAGATCGTTGCGATGTGCTCTATAGTGAAGGGAGAAAAAATATTTTATTATTAAACTTTAATGCTTAAAAAATATCATCTCTATTCTCATACCTTCGGGCACGTTCCACATCCGGTTCATTATATTTCACTTGTATACGTTTGTCAAGTATATCCTCTGGATTGATAAATGCCTGTAAATAGATTCGATTTAACATGGTCAGTTAAAAGATAGTCAGTTCAGTAATTGGTGACTTATAATTAGGCGAATATCCAAGCGAGTTTACATAGAATGCCACTAATGTAATACTTACTTATTCGGAGACTTTTCAATGCTGACTCGGACCACTAAAAACACAAGGAAGATTCGACATCGAAAAGCACCGAAAGACAGCTGAACGGTTTTCAACTCAAATTGCACCGCTGCTTTCTGAGAGCACTCATCAGCAATTCTTTATAAGGGAACTGTGGAACGGCAACTCAAACGTACATACTGCCGCCACAAAAAGAGGTGGTGAGGAATATCGAACTGTAGAGGAGAGAAAACAGACTGCCTACACACAACAACCCTGCGATCGGCCACAATACGTGCGGGGTGGGATAGATATCGATAACTGAAGAGGGAAGCAAGACGCATGTGCAGACAAGAAAATAAAGAGGTCGAGTTGCATGAGTAGGAAGAGTTGGCCGACAAGAGTTTTGCCCGTAAATTCTTTAAAAAGACTCGGAGACTTTTTATGAGCGAAGCAAACTCTTGTAGCACCCGTAGGCTTGATCTTGAAACTTATGCCCACAATAAACAAAATTTATGGAGAAAACACTTCTTCAGTATGCTGAATGGCAGAAAAAAAATGGACAGCAGCAGTTGGCGAACCCGACCCCACTATCGATGACGGTGAAACAGATGTTTTACTGTCAGACTATGAAGAAGTTCAGTTACCAGTTGGCCGCTTGAAAAACACTAAAGCGACGGAAACAGATGGATTGCCGGCCAAACTTTTCTAATATGACGACGAAGATCAAATGAGGAGAATGCATTAGCTTCTTTGTAAAATATGGTCGGATGGAAGCATGCCTGACGATTGGAGTGGAAGTGTGCCCAAACTGTAAAAAGGGGCAAACAACTGATTGATTATTATCAGTGTCGCCTTCACTCCTCCTCATCGGTTTTCAAGCATCTTTCGATAGCACGGTGCCTCTACGGTGCTATGTCTGAACTTATATTGTTGAGCTAAATAGAGAAGGTACAATATTCTATACATGTGTACATAAAGCTGCTGGCCAACGCCAGAGACATCTCCTATCATCAAAGAAACACTCGCCTCGTGGCTCCCACGACAGCCATCTCTTTGAAGTTGTAAATAACTTCGTTTATCGCGGAACCAGTATTAACACCAACAACAATGTCAGCCTAAAACTCCAGTCCCATTTGCTAAGAAATGGCAATTGAAAAGTCCCCTTTCGATGAAACTCTGCAAGACACTTATCATTCCCGACCTGTCGGGAGTTTTCGAGGGAGTGCTTTTAGCGAAGATTTCTGGTCCTCTGCGTGTTAGAAGGTTTTCGATGTAGTATCCAATGAAGTGGAAGCAGAGGAAGAGGAGGTGGAAAAAGACCTTGCTACATTTAATGTGCTACAACTTGTTAGAAATTTCAAAAAATCGATTTTTTTATTTCATATAATGTACATATATTCAAATAAATACGCTGCCAATTTCAAGTCGATTCGACTATTATTTTGGAAGTTACACGCATATCTGTTACTTGATGCTAGTCGGAGACCAAGGCTTATCGGGAACGGCTTAACCGATTAGTCTCAAGTTTTCATACGGTCTTTTGAACAAGATTTTCTAGTAATTTATCGAAGCTTTTCCTACTGACGCTGAAAATTCTTTAACCCGCAATTCAAGACCACAATTTTGGAGAAAGATTGAATTTTTTTTGTGAAGCCGTCATTTTGTCAACAAAATTAGTTGGCTTACTCCTTCATTTAATCACAAGATTATACATACATTACTTTAACGAAATCCGTTTAATTTTTACATTTCACATGATTCGCTTCAGAAATACAATGGTTACCGCTAAACGTCTTTTTTGGGAGGAGTCCCCGGAGCTCGTCTGAAGCAGCTCAAAGACTGATATTTAAAAAAAAAAATTGCTAACTACTCTTCAAAGATGATATAATACAATATGTGTAGAAATGCTCAAAATAATAGAGCTAAAAGTTTCCACATGAAAAATATTTCAAAAAACAATAATTTTTTAGGGCTTCTCTTAATACTTCCAATTGGCGTCAAACAGCGAAAGTAAGAAATGCCTGGATCGACTATCATCGCCATTAAAGAAGATGAAGAAGAACAGATGCAGCTTGCTCAATAATATATTTTAATATTTTTTTTTTGTTTGGAAAGTGTTGACTTATCAACGTAGTAGACGAATAAGTTATCAATTCTGTTGAAATGTAACCCTATTAGCAACTAACATATTATGCAACCCTGTAATGTTTTTGAAATAACTGAAACCGAGAACATTCAGTCAGTCCTTCATTTCTAACTGTTGAATAAACACTTATACTTATTATACTGAATTGCATAGAAGCAAGCGTGTTTTACTTGGAACCCGAAAAAATAGCAGAGTAAGAATCCAACAGGTTATGGGACCAGGTACAAATTCCTGGGGTCCAAGTAAAGTAAATTGAATAAGTGTTGTGGAAATGAGTTCTCCGTTGTTCAACATCGAGAAATTGGATGAATCCAATTATGACTCGTGGAGCTTGCAGTTGCAGAGTGTGCTGGTACATCAAGAACTATGGACGGTTACGTGTGGAGAGTGGCCGCATCCAGAAGAAGGCGCAGAAGAGAAGTCTGTACGATTTTGGAAAGCAAAAGATGACAAAGCAAAAGCAACAATATTCCTAAGTGCAACGCCTATGCAGTTAAGCCATGTAAGAAATTGTAAGTCGGCTAATGAGGCATGGAAAACTCTTCGTGAGGTACATCGACCAAAAGGGCCAGTAAGAAAAGTTACGTTGTTCAAGCAGTTGCTTGGAATTCGAATGAGTAACGGCGAGTGTGTTCAACAATATGTTTGTAAGTTCACATCGGTTGCAGAGAAGTTAGCAGAAATTGGAGTGTGTCTTCAAGATGATTTAATCGTAATTATGCTTCTTGCAAGTTTGCCAAAATCTTTTGAAAGCTTGGTAGTAGCTTTGGAATCAAGAGATGAGTTACCGAATCTTAATGCAGTTAAGATAAAGTTAATGGAAGAAGGTGAGCGGCGAAAAACTAGTCAGTTTGAAAATGGCGAAAGTAGTGTTCAAGCTTTTGTAGCACAATCGAACACAGGCGCAAGAAAGAACAAGAACGAAAACGTAAAGTCAAACGACGCTGCTAATATCGTAAGCAAAAATAATGAGAAAAGCAAACGATCAAACCTGCGATGTTATAGTTGTGGTAAAAAAAGGCATTTTGCCGCACAATGTAAAGAAAAGGAACGAGAATATTCTACGAATAATG